CTCCACGGCCCCAGCACCGGCACAATCCGTGGCTAGCCCTTCCTAGGTGTTTCAGGAAGTGTTTGGGTAGCTTAATGAGAGACCTCAGAGAGGTGGAGAGGGTCTGAGCGGGGAGTGTTGTCAAGCCTGAGGAGAGAGGAGGAGAAAGGTGCGGGTGGACAGTCAGAGCTCAGGGCCTACTGGTTTGGGCCTTACGCTCCCGGGCACATCCTGGACACGGACGGGCTTGTCCCTACAGGCTCTGCTCCCGCTGGCCCTGGAAGGCACTGACGTGGGGCAGACAAAGGCAGCCCAGGCTCTCGCCAAGCTCACCATCACCTCCAACCCAGAGATGACCTTTCCTGGCGAGCGGGTACGTGTCTTCCTGCCCCAGCCCTGGCCTCCACCCCCTCACTGGGCCCTGATGGTCTCTGACCTGGGCTGTGGCTCCTCCGTGGGTTCAAGAGGAAGTGGCAGCTTTGCTGAGCCCTAGGGTGGGGAGGGCAGCCTTCTCTCAGGGGGTGGACCCCTGCCTGTGGGCTCGGTGGGGACTGGGCTGAGTAGCCCTGACAGGTGGGGTGCATGTCACAGATCTATGAGGTGGTCCGGCCCCTTGTCTCCCTGTTGCACCTCAACTGCTCAGGGCTGCAGAACTTCGAGGCGCTCATGGCTCTAACAAACCTGGCGGGCATCAGTGAGAGGCTCCGGTAAGGTCCCCTGGGACATGGGGCCCAGGTAGGGAGGGCATCAGGGTTTAGATTATCCCCAGTAAAGCACTTGACAGTTTGGAAAGCACTCTTCGGTCATGGCTTTATTTGAGCCTCACAGTGAGTCCTCTGTGTCATCCAGCTGAGGACACAGGCCAGGCGGTTTGATTTGGACAGCGCTCCCTGAGAGAGCACGTCACTGGGCAGTAACAGTACCGGCTCTGGAGTCAGACCATCTGGGTTCAAATCCTGGCTTCACTGGGTACCAGGGTGTAACCTCAAACAAGTTACATAACCACTCTGTGCCTCAGTTTCCCCCTCTGAAATGGGATGGTTATAGTAGTTACCTCATGGAGTTGTAGTGAGAAGAATTAAATGAGAAAATACATGTAAAAGCACTTAGTGCATAGGTACCTGGCTCCTAGCGATGTGCCCAGTCGATGCATATTAGCTATTACTACTAGTGGTGACCCTGGGCACATTACTCACTACTTAGCCTTGGTTTCTTCTTCTGCAAAATAGTCATGCTGATCACACCTGCACTGTCACCACAGGGCTGTGGTGAGGATTGAGTAAGGTAGTCCAAGTGCTGGGTCAGGGGAAGTGCTTAAATGTTCGGTGTTAGCATCACCATCACCACCACCCTGGTCTCCTAACTCCTGGTTGAAAGCATTCCACGCCCCGTGCCATCTCCTAGGCCTGGGTAGAAGGCTGGAAACCCCTGCAGTTCATACCTGGTGCAGGAGGGCCTTTGGACATTGCCCAGGGAAATCCTCAGCCCAGGGCTCAGTTGTATGGGGATATGGGGGTGGGGGCAGTGGATGCAGAGGCTCTGACGATGCTGAGCCTTCCACCCTCGGCCCCGCAGGCAGAAGATCCTGAAGGAGAAGGCTGTGCCCATGATTGAGGGCTACATGTTTGAGGAGCATGAGATGATCCGCCGGGCAGCCACGGAGTGCATGTGTAACTTGGCCATGAGCAAGGAGGTGAGGGCTGGTCCAGGCGGTCATGGTGGGAAGCCTTGCAGAAATATCTGTGCCCTGGCTGGGCTTTGCCTTAGCTGACTCAGTCCACACCCCTCATCTGGCCACAGGTGCAGGACCTCTTTGAAGCCAAGGGCAATGACCGGCTGAAGCTGCTGGTGCTGTACAGTGGAGAGGACGATGAGCTGCTCCGGCAGGCGGCTGCGGGGGGCCTGGCCATGCTCACTTCCATGCGGCCCTCGCTCTGCAGCCGCATCCCCCAAGTGGTCAGTGCCTCTTCTTGGTAGGGGAAGCGAGGTGGGCCAGGACCCCCCAGCATGGTGGCAGTTGGTGGGGGAAGTCCCAGGGTGTGCGGGTGTGTTCCCTGCCAAGGTTTAGCCTGTTGCTCAGTGGTCACACAGCCCTGTTTCCTGCAGACCACACATTGGCTGGAGATCCTGCAGGCCCTGCTTCTGAGCCCCAACCAGGAGCTGCAGCACCGGGGCGCTGTGGTGGTGTTGAACATGGTGGAGGCCTCGAGAGAGATCGCTAGCACCCTGATAGAGAGCGAGGTGCTGGAGATCCTGTCCGTGCTGGCTAAGGGCAAGGAGAGCCCCATCACCAGGGCTGCTGCAGCTTGCCTAGAGAAAGCGGTGGAATATGGGCTTATCAAACTCAACCAGGATGGAGACTGAGGGGCTGCTAATGCACACGCTACCTATCACAGCACAGGGAGCCAGGACAGACACGGCTTTTTGCTGGTGGGGGCTGGGATGCGGAACACTCTGGCCTCCTCTCTAGCTGCCCTTTGATGTCTTCTGTTCTGAGTCAGGGGCCACGTTCAGTCACAGCCCTGCTCTGCCAGCACTGCCTGCAGCCTCACGCAGCAGGGCCCTTTCTGTACTACTGTAGACAGCTGGGGATGGGGAAGGTGCATCTGGACTCAGCCTGTGGATTCCTGCACTGGGAAGGGCACATCGAGCAGCCTCACCACCTTGAGCATCACCTGAGCCTCCTAGCAGGCCTGCCTCTGACCCTCTAATAAAAGTGTGTGGAACTCAAATGTGTGCCCTGTCTGTGGGCAGGGAGGGCAGGCCGTGAGCCCTGGTCTGGAGCAGGAGCGGGCTGTGGTGGAGCACAGCGGAGCTTTATGGCAGCAGCAGAGCCACCTCCACGGAAGGAATCATGGATTCCACCCAGAGCCCGCTGAGTTGCGTCCTAACCCTGTTGGAGGGTCAAGGGGTAAACCGAGGAAGCTGATCAATAAAAAACTATACAGTCGCCTGGAAAAATGGGTTTAGGGTACAGACTCCTAGATCCTGGCCCTTCAATACTTTGTCTTTGTATTGGGAGTTCTCAGTGCCCTCCACTCAGGCGGTGCTCGGGAGTTGGGGTTGGTGTGTCGCCCGGGCATGCCGTTCCCTCATGGAAAAACCTGCGAGAAGTTCCCGCAGCTAAGCCGGGTGGGAACGGGGTCCGGCGACCCCAAGTGCCCGGGCTGGACGTCCCGATAGCGGGCTCCGCCCAGGTTGAAGTTCATTGGATCGACAGAGATAAGTGGCAGGTCCCGAGCCAATGGAAGGTAAAACGCATCGAGCGCCCGCTCAGGATGGCTGCTTCCTGTTGGGCGGCAGTCCTGCGCATGTCCAGTAGCGAGCTGCCGCGGTCCCAGGCCCAGGGGAGTGACGGGGAGGTGCCCTTTAGCTCAGCTCTGAATGTTCCCCGGGTGCTTCTAACTCGCGCTTCGCTGTCCCGCGGGTGCCTGTGGGGAGAGGGACCACCTGGTCCGACCTCTGCCCGGGCCCGCGCCCACCGGAAGTTTCACACCCGAGCCCGTGGCGGCCCAGCGTAGGCCTGATGACCGGCTCCACGCCCGTAGGACTGGACGGGCCGCAGCGGAGACTGCAGCCGCGAGGTGAGCAATGCCCGGCGGCCGCCCGCCCCGAGCGGTTACGTCACCCCCTCGCCGGCGATTGGCCCCGGGGAGGCTGCGGCAGCCAATGGGCGCCTCGCCCAGGGCGCGGCTCTTCAAACCTGTCCTCCCCGGCGGCTGTCAGCCAGGTCCTGGGCGGGAGACCCATTCCCGGGCGGCTGCTCTGCGCCCCGGCCTTTCCTTCCTCCAGATTGCCCATCGGAAGGAGCTGCCTGAAGGGGTGCACAGGGTCAAGATCAAGGTCAGAGGCCTCCTTGAGTTGGAATTGAACACGGGAGGGGTTAGGAGCCCAGGCCCGGGTCAAGGAGCTTTGGTCGAGGAAGAGACCCAGGATCTGACTTCAGAGGCTTGAAAATGCCTATGGAATTCTGATCAAGCCAAACATGCTGTACGGAGAAAGCAGCGTTGCTGTTGTAACCACTAGACTTTGCGTCTTTCTCCCCATTTATGAGTGAGCTCCTTGGGGGCAGACAGCTGTTCTCATGGGTCCAGAGTAAGGGATCAATAAATGCTTGTAGAACGATTAAATGACTAGATGAAGTCCAGTTGAAATTATGTTTATCTAGATCCCTGAAAACCAGTAAGTACTAGTGGTCGTTTTTATCAACTCTAAATACTGGATTTAATAAGCTAACACTTACAGTGCACTTATCATGGTATGTGCGTGCACTTGAACGCTTTATTTGCATCTGTTCCAAACAATTCTACAAGGTAGGTACAAACACCACCCTCCCCTACACCCCCCCCCCCTTAGTAAAACTGAAGAAACTGAATTGGACCTAGAGAGCTTAAGTGAATTGGCTGAGGACACAAAGCTGCAGAGGCAAACGTCAACCCTGGAGCTGGTCAACCCTGGAGCTGGTCGTGGCCCGTGCGGGGTACTGTCTCCCAACGCTCTGCTTTCCACTGGTGGGAAGAGCACTGTATGTGGAGTCGCTGGGCCTTGAGTTTGGCCCTCTGCCCCTCTTGGTCCTAAGCTGTGTGACTGTGTAAGGGTTACCTTCTCTGGGAGTCTCTTCTGTCAAATGGGGGCGATTCTAGTTCCCAAGACTTTTTGGGATAATGCGCCTGACACTGGGAATTTGGATCTGGAGGGGCTCGGATCCTAGTCCAACGCCCCAGGGAGAGGCCACTTAAATACCTCATGTCCCCTTTGTGGGACGCTGAGCTTGCTTGAGTCAAAAGGACAAGGAAGGTACCGGCTCTGGACAGCTCAGAATCTTCCTGAGTCTGCTAGGACGTTAGCCAAGGCTCCCGCCCACCGAACGTTTGTGTAATGGATATCGTCTACCTCTGTGGTGAGGAGAATGGTATTTTCCCCATTTTACAGGTAAGGCAGCTGCTGTGTCCCGTAAGGGGCTCATCTCCAAGAATCTCCTCCGGTTCTAGCCCTACCCTCCGTCCCGCCGCCACCCCAACCGGCGAGCGGCCAGCAGAGGGCGCTTTCAGGGCATGGCCGAGGAGCGCCCAGGCTCCTGGTTCGGCTTCGGTTTCCGCGGCTTCGGGCAGGCGCTGGGCTCGGGGCGCGGGCGCCAGGTTCACAGCCCCGAGCCGCTGCGGGCGCCGGGCGCGGGCCTCGACGTCTGCCGCGTGAGCGCCAGCTGGAGCTACACCGCCTTCGTGAGCCGTGAGCACCCCCCTCGGGCCCCCTTCCGGCCCCCGGCGCTGGTTTCGCGGCCCACGCCCTCTCCAGCGCGCTCTCCGCCCCCGCAGGTGGAGGCCAGGTGGAGCTGTCGGGCGCGGCGGGCGGAGCGGCGGGCGGCTGCAGAGACGCGTGGGCTTCGGAGGCGCTGCTGGTGGTGTTGCGCGCGGGGCCGGGCCCCGGGCCCGGGGCGGAGCTGCAGGCCTGGGAGCCCGGCTCTGCGCTGCGCGGGGAGCCCCTCTGGGTCAAGACTGTGGTGTCGGAGGCCGAGAGGGAATACGGACCGGACGGCAAGACCCAGGCTGGGCCGCTGCCCCTGCTGCCCTGCGCCCGCGCCTACGTGAGCCCGCGGCCGCCCTTCTACCGACCTCTGGCCCCGGAGCTGCGGGCGCGCCGGCTGGAGCTGGGCGCCGAGCACGCGTTGCTGCTGGACGCTACGGGCCAAGTGTTCTCCTGGGGCGGCGGCAGGTGAGTGGGGGTGTGGCCAGGTGTAGGCCAGCTAGGCTT